AGCGAATAATTTTGTTTAAAGAAGATAATAGTTTAAATAAAATATTTATTTTATTTATTTAGTTTTCTTAGTCGAAATAATTAACTTGTTACAAAGTTATTTTTACAGTAGGTCAAATTCAAGTTCTTTATATGCATGTCAATTAATTATAAGCCCATTTGGGTTCATGAGCCCATATGGGCGCATCGTCACTAATTTCTACTAAATATATTTAATAAATCGAATAAATATTAACGTGTTACGGATTAATTAATAAGAATAATATTATGCAAATTGTGGATGAAAGTTTTTTTTGTTATTTTTACGTTTTGCGTTAATACTTCATGAATATTCGACTAAAAATTGTGAACATTCATATGTATATATTTGAAAACAAACAAAACAACACTTTCTAAGTTCCCAGGATGTGTTGAAATATAGTATCTTAAAATAGCTCTAAGTGCTACTTTTTTGAAAAATTTTCGAAAATTTTTGGTTTGACTTTAAATATCATAAAATCATCAATAATGATCGGTCAAATGTGATATTTTAAAGTGTTATACAAATCATCTCGACAAACGTTTTTTTACTAATGCACAATGACGACTTGCTTAGTAAAAAATGAGTATTTATATTAAACGTTTACCCTATTATTTTTGCTGATCATCAGGTGTCCGGAAATTTTTTGTAGGGGAGTGTACATTTTCCCATCCCTATCAGCGTCGGTGAAACAAATCATTGTTGATTTCGTCATACTTGATGTGAAATTGAAATTGGCTGACTAAGCTTTTCAGCTGAATATTAGTTTTTATAATCCAGTCGGAAAATTATAAAATTAGTAATAATTGTCATTGTACGACGAAGAATGCAAAGAAAGATGACAACAATGATAATTGAAGAGAGTTCTTCGTGGGAAAACATAAATAAACCTTTATCACATCAAGTTAGTTGCTAACGTCACCACATCATAAGGTTTTAGTATATACTTTGTTCTCGTGGTTTTTGCTTTGTTCTAACCTAATATGTTAATACAAATTGCTAGATCAAACTTGATTATATTTGTGGTAAATTACGACAACTTCAAAGTATCTATAATTTCATAAAGTTACGCCATAAGATTTAACATATTTATTTTTTTTTTTTATTCTCATGGTTTTGCCCAATATGTCAAATTTGTTTCAAATAATTGTATAAAAAATTTTTTTTCTCACAAATACCATAAAGTCTCGAAAGATAGCACTCACCCCCTGTAACAAATGATTTTCAATTAGGGGGTGCTATCTTTCTATTTAAAGGAGCAGGTCATAATGATGACGAAAATTGGTTGAGAAAGGCAGCTGAATTTGAAGCTGAATTAAAGAGATCGGGTTATAATTTAGATAATAATGATGATACCAATTTTACCAGTGCTCCTATTCTTATCGAACCTCTGGCAAGTTTGGATCAAAACAGTGAAGATAATTGGTCGAGAGCACTGTCGAATTTGAACTAAGAATACATGTGATAATAATTTAGATGATAGTGCCGATTTCCTCAGCGTCCCTGTTCCTATCGAATCTTCAACAAGTCTCAATGATCATGGTTGGGGTCAAATAGTCAAAATAATAAAGACGATTGGTTAAGGATTGCTGTTGAATTTGAATCCAAACTTTAAAATGCAACCTAAATAATTGATATTATAGCACCAAAACAAACAATAATAATAATTGTCGTCAAAATGGTCAAATGGAAGAATAATTCTAACAGAAGAAACTATAATAACAACTATAGTCGAGATAATAACAATAGAAGATATAGTTTTGGCAAAACTATAATAATAATTATAGTCAAGATGCCAAAGGAAAGAGTAGACAAATAAATTTTTGTAATAATAAAAGTTGCTGCTTCAAATGCTGGTCTCCTAGGCATCTTTATCAATATTGTACTCGTAACTTAGAGAATCGCCACCACGTCAATAACAAACGGCATTTCTAGAAGGAGGCTAATTATTGCAAATAATAATAAGAAATATAATTATTTTTTTTATAATATACTGTATTATTATAATTATCATTATTGATATAATAAAATTTTTTTTAATTTGTTATGATGTACGCACGCACACCCTAGAAAGATGCCCATTAGAGCCACCACACTTAAAAAGTTAAAGAACCTATTACTGCTTCCATATTATTGTTGATTACATATAAACAATTGATTTATCCATTTATTATTTTAGAAAGTATATTAGCACTCGCTAGTTAGTCCAAATTAGTCCTTACTTCACAATTTTTGCCTTTTTACCTTTTTGCCAAGGTATTACTACACTTTAAAATTGGTCGTAGAATGCAATACAAAAAAATTTTTTTTAGCACAACTTCCCCGTTTTACCATAAAATGGTGAACATTATGAAATAAATGATAAAAGTTCACGTATATTAATATAATTGTTTAAGAAAAAAGATATCTTTATTAGATATTTGATATATTGCAACACTCGAAACACATGCCCTATTTGAAACCTTTGTTGAGAAATATCAAAAGACCCAGTTGGCTTAATATAAAACTAAAGATGGAGTCTGGAGGGAATCCATCCAAAAGATTAAACATCTGGCTAAATGTTTTTCCGAATTAATTTTATCAACCGAATTTTTATGTAATTACTCCATCCACTTTGTTCAAATTTTTTTAATGTTTCATTGTATCCATTCAAACTCATAATAATAATAAACCATTAGTATTAGAGAACCTTCTGTTTATTTTTAGTGTATGACAGAATGAAGCATAGTAGAAATTATTTATATATAAAAAATTTTTTTGATAAATGGTATATTTTCGATAAAAAACAATTTATAATTTCTTAAAAAAATTTAATGTAAAAATGGTTGATAATTTGTTAGCTTATTTACTTACTATAATTTTAGGTGCAATAAGTTTTTTCATTTATAAAACTTTAATTGAGCCTTTTTATTTGTCACCATTACGTAAAATACCTGGTCCGCCTTCTGAAAGTATTTTGTTGGGAAATTTTCCAACTGTTGCAGCTGACGTAAATAATAGTATCTTCTTTATACAATATTTATTTATTTATTTTCTCTTAGGAAATTAATTTTTTATCCACTAAATATTAAATTAAAGATTGGAAAAGCTCATTTAGATTGGAACAAGAAATATGGAGGAATATCAATATATCGTGGATTATTAAATGAACCAATTGTACTTTTAACAGATCCTAAATATTATCCACAAATATTGACAAATAATGCTTATGGATTTTTTAAAACAATGGAATTTACTTCGGATTTAAGAATTGTATTAGGAGATGGGATTTTGTTTGCTGAAGGTGATCAACACAAACGTCAAAGGAAAATGATGAACCCAGCATTCTCTTTTACAAACTTGAAAGTAATTATCATTATTAATATTAATGTTATTTTAATTATAAACTGAATGTTTTTTTAATTAAATTCAATTTATAGGAAATGGTTCCTACAATTATCAATGTTACTAATGAATTAAATGATGTGTTGAATGATGTGATTGGTAATCAAGATGAAAAACTAATTATTAATATTAATTCATATATATCAAAAGCTACATTAGATATTATTGGCTTAGTTGGTAAGTTTTAAAACATTTTTTACACTTGCTTAGTATATTATTGCTCATTACCAAATATATATATTGTTTATTATTAACAGGATTTCAATATGAATTCAATTCACTTAGTTCTGAAAATGAATTAGCAGCTGCTTATGATGAAATTTTTAATCCTAAAATAACATTCACAAATTTCTTGTTAATGGTTTTATCAGATAAATTCAAATGGATTAGATATTTGCCATTTGAAGCAAATATAAAATTGATTAATTCTGTTAAAGTTATTGAAAGAATTTCCTTGCATATAATTAGGGAAAGACAAAAACAAGCACAATTAAAAAAATTGGAAGAAAAAGATTTGTTGTCTTTATTAATTAATATTAATCAAGACTTGCCACCAGAAGAAAAAATGTCTGAATCAGAATTAA